CCCCACGTGACGTCATTATCCAACGTTTACTGCCCGCGCGTACTTCAAACACCACCACATCAATACCACATGTCTTTATCAAATAAAAATGTTCAGTGAGTCAGCGAATGCAGAGTAAAACTCCAACACACATAACCTTGCCTCATTGTCGTCAGATTATTACGTTTTCCTCAGTGGATAATAGAAGGTCTAAAATGTGCTATTGATGCGAACGGCCGCGGCTAATACATCAACGATTCGTATTTAAGAAAAATACACAATCTTACACTGGAATCCAAGAGAAATAACGTCCACAATTCCCGTTACTGCACAGCGATCGACTTCAGGATGACACCAGCTCAATATTAACTCGGAACAGTGCTGGGTCTGACGTCAAATTTCGTTGTTTAGTGCGTGGTACCAACTGTCACCTTCATACGAATACAAACTGTCGAAGCAAATATCGCCAAGTCAATGATTACACTAGTCGTACTGAACGAACCGATAAATGTCGAGGCCGAGTGCCCGCTTATCCATATATGTAAAACAAAGTGGGTGGGTCGACTCGTACTAGTAAGATCGCTGATGACCTTTTCCACTGATGCGGGCGATCATAATCGGAAGTGCTCAACATTTACGAAGCGCCGGGGTCGTGTATGGAAGTGGATAAACGTGAATAAGATACAAACACGGTATAACCTATGACTTATGATAGTTTATAAATATTGTACGAACAAACTGATGTCAGTGATTAAGTATTAACATTGATATGTCAATATTGGCACAGATGTAGTTGAAACTTATGTCATCATTTGCGAGGGTCAGATAAGAAGAAATGAACCTATCTCCGCATTTATAGGTCAAATCTCAAATTAAAAGTAGAGTATTACAGTGTGCATACACGTGTTAGCAGATCAACCGCATTATTTACTAAGGTACGATGCAAAATAATACAGAGCATTAATAAAGGGCGGGTCCCATGCAACGTGTTCGTGTAATAAACAATGTTTACACGAAATTATAATCGCACGTCGTGCTAGGACAACCGCCCTTTAAACATAATGGAATAACATATTGATCATATTATTAATACGACTGATAAATTTGCAGGGGGCATCCCCAATAATTTGATGTGCCCATTACCGTTCTTTTCCACTATTTTTGATACTAAGGTAGGATGTATTTATGGATAGTATCGTATTTCAACTTTGCCATACAAATATAGTGGAATACTAACAACATAGACAGACAAGATGCGTGTGTAAGGGTCGCAATGTGGAATGTCTATGACTCTCTTGTATAGCATGATATCATCAGTGTACGTGCATGTGTTTATTTACGTACTGGGTGGGTTTAATTGTACAGGCTTTGGCCCATATTTTGGGAATGCCATGCCCTCGGTGTTCGTGGGTGGATAACAGGATAATCATGCATAATTCGCCATTGTACTTTAGGTAAGACATGATTGTTTTTGCGCTTGACCTATTCTTTGGACCAGTATGATTATCCGAACCGGCATCGTATATTATTAACTAAAAGTTTAATACAACTGTGAATGGCGTGGTACGCTTGTTGCATACTCAATTGACAAGCCTGGGTGCGAATCGCCGGACGAGTGTTCTACAGCGCCCCTAGTGGTCGACGGAATGATTTGCGTGTTCCATGCATCGACTGATTACTGCCGTTGGTGGCGTGCTTGGGAAATCTCAGCCGATTCTTGAGTATTTATTTAACTAAATGCCGTCCATGGTCGCAAGACTTTGAAAAATTGAATAGTGAATCGGCTAGTCTGCGTATTGTCATGGTGATATACTGAAGTCATCGAGACAGCTAATCATGACACAGAATTCTGTGCCGATTATGTAGTGTACTAAGAATAGCTGGATTCTAGGTTAAAACGAACATGCTGTTAAACATGTCTTTTTCGCGAGCATGTCTTTTTCGCGAATTTAGCGAGAGAACTGATTCGCTAATTCAAGACATCGCTAATGACTTTATTATCAATTCAAAATGGCCGCCAAACAAAAAATCAACAATGACAAGAGAGATTCGCTAAATCAACATTTCGCTATTATGTCATTTTACTACAATTCGCTAAAATTGCATGCCGCTTTTTCAACATGTTTTACAGTATTGACGTATATTGATTAATTTACTATTTTTCACCAATACGTCGTATAGGCACATTGCACAGTATACGCAAACATATACATTTTGACCCACGTAACTAAAATTGTTTCAACCAACACGTGTAGTTGGATTGACTAAAATACACCAGACAACTTGAATACAGAGGCATGCAACTACGGAAAACGCCAAACGGAATAGAGTGGTGTCTGTGAGACGTCGTTTAGTGCGTCATAATCTATCACGTGTGCGTTTGGGTGCGTGCAACAACTTTTCCGGTTTTTGAAAACGTGCTTTAACACCGTGACGCGATAACCTAAAGTTCGCTGTTCTACTTGTTGATTGTGACATATGGCTATGCATACCACCTTGAACATATAACCACTCATAAACATTTAAATATGAAAAGTGCAGTGAAATAGGATATTATTGCTTTGAAAAAAAAAAGGTCAATAACAGAACAGTCGAAGGGGAAATCAAAAAGTAGACGAAGCGCTTTTTTTCTGGAAAACAAATCATGATTTATCATTTATTGCTTCAAACAACACAGCAATGTTCTACAAAGTTCGAATTACTAAATGTGAACAAAAAACAAATTCGCGAATGAGGTTTATATGCCGTAACTATCAATAAACTATTTTCTGTTATATGCGAGACCCCGTGTTGTTTTCATTACGCGAGAGCTCTGCAGAATTTAGCTTTCTAATAATTTGCGTTTGCTTTTCATGCTATTTTTTTCGAAAAAAAAAATACAAACATAATTCCAAGATGCAGTTTGTTAATTAGCACTGTAACAATCAAAAAGCAAGATAGAGTCAGGTGACTATACAACCTAACATCTACTTCTGTATCTCGGAAATCCCAAGTGTTTTTTTATAAGATACATACAATGCTACAGATTCATGTTGTTCACTGGGCATACACTGGTGTAATAAATAGATTAGCGATTGTTCATGAAGACATCTATACCCATTCAGATACATCAGTGATTCAAAAAATCCAAATGTATAACTTACATTATTTAGTAGCATTTAAGTATAGCCCAAATTCCTGTAGAATATGGTATTTAAAAATATCACAGAGACATTTCTCTAACAGACTGTGATTTCAGATATGTTATATAGTATTTAACGAAACTTAATTTCTAGGTCATACAAGAAAAACAGCTTCTTGACTAATATAATGCTCTAAATAACCGTAACGTCGTATAAAATAGCCAACTTACAAGTGAATCTGGGTCCGGAGAGTGCTTTCTCTGTATTGGTCTGGTAGGCTGTAATATGAGAGACACTATGCAAATATGTATGTACCAGTAACAATCAGAAAATAAGTATATTCGAAATGTCAAACCACATAAAATGCCCGGATGCGTCTGACCTTTGGTACGATGTAGAAAAAAAACACGTTTCTTCTTTGATTCTGTACGATAAATTAAATTAAATATTTTGTTACTTCAAAGAGCCGAGTGTTTGGTAGGACTTTGAATTCAACTGTTGGAAACTTGCATATCGAAAGTACAAAATACTAGTATATTTGATGCTGTGGGGGGGGGGGGGGTTCTACACTTGTGATGACATACTAGTAATTCATTGTGTTCAAGTGTAGAACTCTCCTATGATGCAAAAATCTACCATTTTAGTAGTATTTCACACAGTTCCTTCGCTGAAAATTTGATAACGGTTTCACAGAGAAACATCGCCCACAGCGGCCGTATACATCCTCATCAACGTGATTCAGAAAAGGGCTAGTCAATAGTTGTAACTTGAATACAAACGAACACGTCTCTTGATATTCAGCCATATTTACAGTGATTTGAATTTTCATTCTCAACACGTGAGTTACATGTGTAAAATAGAAAAATTGAAAAAAAAGAATTCTGTATATGATTTTCTCAAATAACCCAACACCCTTGGTGAGAATGGTTGAGTCCGGGGGAAGGCTTTCAGGATTGAAATTACCAAAGTCAAAACAAAAACCCCTAAGAATCTTCGACGGAAGCGATATTAGAATATTCCAAGGGACTCAAACTGATGGGAATAAGTAAGTAATGTAATTGTTATTCGTAGTAATAGTAATATCACATTGTTCCTAGACTAACCATAAATATCAGCAAGAACATACAGTGAAATTAAAAAAAATACTTATATATATTAAATTGGCCTTTGTGTAGGCGAGTTACAATTTGGGCGTGGTTTCTAAAATATGGGCGTGACACTTTTCGTATCTCGATATCCGTAGTTCGATGTCCGTAACTCGAACAATTCAGCATCTCCAACGTTTGTGAGTTGTTAAAGTACAGTTTGCTAATGAATCAGAAAATCCTCTATATTTATGAAAGTTGTCACTGTGGCGCACAACATGCTTTCCAATTGCACTCGTATGAACCCATTGCCAAATTACCAAGTATATTTCAAAGGTGGTGTGCTACAAGTTTCAATTTCCATGGGACAGCTTCGCCATTTCCACTGCTTAATGTTTGCCGTTGCAGTTATCACACTAACTTGTTGGGCAAGTATTTATATGCACAGTAATAAAAAACAAATACTGTGTAAACAAACATTATTGAATTATGAGTTTTAATTAAATATTAACTATATTTCAACTTTAAACTTATCACCCATTAGTCATCAAAATAATCGATATATTGATAGATAAATCTGAGATTATTATTGATATTGCAATATTAACAAAAACAACAAATAATTTATAGATATTAGTCAAAAGGCTATAGCTATCCGATTAGTGTTGTGAAACTAATTCTCTAATATTGCAAAATATTTATAATTTATCACAATGTACCCATTACGGATTGAAGCTGATACATTTCGAATGGAAATACATTATATTTTACAATGGTAATTTTGTTTCACGCGTGATTGAACTTGAACTTTAGAATGAATGACAAGACATCACATAATTGTAATTTACGGCCACTTTATTTCGTTACATGTACAACAAATTGATTACACCAAATGATCGCTTTTAAGTAATTTACTTCTATACTTTTTTTTTGTTTGTTTATACTTAACTCATTTCATTATCTGGATTATTCTATTGGCATGTGACCTCTATCCCCGTGACTCGTCTGAATACTATTACTATTAAGTTGATTGGCTAATACATACATGTTTACATTATCGTCGCGGAATATTAAAGCGAGGGGATCGCCACTTGCGTATGCGTCATATAGTGTTTACAAACAAGCGTCCGCGTTTTCAGCTTGCGTTGTTATCATCGCTTTGAACTCAATTCCCGCGCGTGCGCAGGTAACGAACACTCCGCTTTAATCTGGAATTAGGAAGTTTATGTTAGGGTGCGAATTTTATATTTGCCTCCTGCATCCCAGCACTGCATTGGAATTATATTCTGATGGCAACACATTCACTATTCGTCGGGTATAGAAGCCAATTTACATATATTTTCATTATAGGTCCGAAAAATCTCGTTTGGTCGTGAAAAGAAGTGTTACCATGTGTTTGATGGAAAGGGGTTCTGTGATGATCAAGACTAGGAACAGTACATACCAAGCCAATAATGTGTGCGTTCGTAATACCTAATACGACAGTGTCACGCCATACATATCATAACTGTCTTCTTGTCGTTATTAGGGATAATAAATATTTATTGAACCCGGCGACGGCCGATATCAAGAATTATCGAACTCAAATTGCTATTATTGATTTTGACATTGATATTGGCCACAGCCCAGTAAAGCAAGTGCGTGATTTAGTACTATCAACAATACACAGAAAAATAAATAATTCGTGGCCAAATACGTGCCCATTTCATTCTATCTTGACATTTTTCGAAAACGAAACCTTGCCGATATAAGCTCGATGGAAGAAATGAGCGAATAACATAAAATAGCTTAGGTACATAACACCGCCATAAGTGAGGTTAGGAAAACTGACGTCACATCGAACGTCGGCAAATTTCATTACGCATGCGTATATCAGAACGCCGCAACCAACTATCATTTGGCTAATTTGCATAATGGTTATGGAGATCTGAATGTTAACCGGCAGACGATAACCAGACGATCTAATGGCGTAGTACAGGTACATAAATGCGTGGACTATGAAATTCATTGTCAAAAACCAGTAGGCGGATGAGGCAATTTCACGGTGGCATAAACAGCAGAACACAAGTACAGTAGTGTGGTGGTACCAGTGCAGGAACGTCAACTTCTGCTTTCTCAAAACTACGAATAATGTATCCCCAAGCTCAACAAATTTAGAGTGGACAAACAAAACACCCCAGAACTTGTAACACGACTCTGTCTCTCGCAAATAATACGTATTGTCACAAACAGAGTTATAAAATCCATCCTCTGTCACGACCAGGTAGAGCATTATTGTGCAACGGACAGCGCCGATTATACTGAATATTGCGAGCGCTAAATTCCACGCCACCAACGGCCGTCGAAGATGAAACTTGGGTCGATCTTTCATAAGACGCTGTATACCAAATATAACTATAAGATAGACCACGCTGGCGTAGATTGAGTAATGCCATCTTGTTTCCATATGTCTTCTCGTGGCGAGGTAATGATTATTAACACATGCCTCGAAGTCATATTCCCGCACGAAAAGGTCAGAGGACGATGAATGTCCATTCACAGCATCACCCATTTTTCCTGTCGTGGCGCTCTATTACGATAACATAAAAAGTTGAGCTGAATTAGTATAACAGGGGCGGATCTAGGATTCTGGAATAGGGGGGGCGATAAGTTGGCCAAAGGCAAAGTTCGCGAGCGCCGATGGCGTGAAGCTAGCTCTGTTGGTTGTTAAAAATAGGGGGGGGCGGCGGCCCCCTCGGCCCGCCTCCTAAATCCGCTCATGTATAATGATTTCCAAATTGGCTATAATATGATTTCGTCTCATGCTTTATCTCACTCAAAACGCATATTGGGTATGTGTCACGTGATCACAATAATACTTTTCAAATATACGAACAATAGCCAGAAATACAAGTGGATAAGGCGTGGACAACGGACGCTTTTACAAGATCTAACTGAACGTGACATTCCCGATAGGTAAGCGAAAGTAAAGCTGGTAAATGTTCTCCCACTGGTCACGTGCAAACGCCGTTGTATGCGACCCAGTTTAGGCACAGGGAGTATAACACGTCAATAAACACGTAACATTCATGGCTTCATATGTTGTTTTTACGAGCCGTGTTCTCTGTAAATCATAGGACAGGTGACTGTTCGAGTAACCTGTCGTAACAATAGACCCTGACTAACTATGTCTCGGTGAATTGAGTTGAGTGTCCTGTGCAACTGAGTTATCGCGTCGACTTTGCCTTGAATGTTGTCCCGATTGGAACGACCAGCCAGGTGTGTCCTCCTAAACGAAAGCACATTCGTGTGGGTATGTGGTTTAACACCGCAATTCAATAACAAATATTTCATTGCTCCCAGCGTATGACGTACAGTGACTGAGTTTGTGATCTGTGAATAACCACTATAACAGAAGCATCTGTTACAAGTCATGGCGTGTTGTTGAACTTTGAAATACATATATGAAGCACAGTGTAACTCGAAGACAATTGTGACAGCCAGAACCGCTACCTGGATACCCACCTGTATAGATCCCAAAGACTTCGATAAATTCATTAACACTGTTACCAGAGATTAAAACCCTTCGTCAGGCCAGTCTGCTGACAAATCGAAAGAATGAACACCTACTGTTTGTTGTCGTCTGTAGCTATGTCCATGCATACAGTCTTTTGAGAAGCGGTCACTTTTCAATAAGAAGTGACCTTCTGCTGTGCCCTCACCGTCTACTCTGATAATGACCCCGCCCCCAGTATGCAAAAAGTGTTCTGTAAATTTAATTTGACGCGAAAACCCTCAGTTCCCCTAATGCGCGAAGAGAACACTGCAGCGCCATTTTCACAGTGTCAACGAAATACTTCCATGAAAACGTATGCGTCTCTCACACCTAATCGCAATAAGAAATCAAAGAAAGCTTAGAAAGAACTCCCGTGTATTGGAGGCATACACATAAGATATACTGTATTTACTATATTATAAACACATCTTAAATACAGATAAAGCAAAAATTGTGTTTATTGCATGCAAAATTATTGAAATATGTCTTATTTTGACAATAGACATATCTTTGTAATACATGCTTCTAATAGAGCAAATACAGCATTTAAAAATATAACTGCAAGCAGTGATTAGGGTGGTAGCTTTGGTTTTACAGTTATGAATATTTAATGAGTACTGACCATATATGATCACTTGATAATTTGGTCACATATCTTGTCAGACAACAAAATTATGGCACCAGTTGCATTTCCGTATCTGCAACATTACTTAAGATATTACAGTTATGCATATTAATGAGGTCACATGACCATATATAGTCATCTGATATATTGACCTGACCATATATAGTCATCTGATATATTAGTCATATCACATTGCAGATACCTTAATTTTAGCGCTGGTCACGTGCCACTATCTGCAGCAGTGCATATTTAGACACATAAAACTATTTATACTGAATAGGTAATTAATATGCACGGATATCAACCAAAAACTAAAAAGGTCTGAGCATTATCCCCGAGCATCCCAGAAAGTTTCATTAAAGAGCGGTAGTCGTCGCGCTGCGCATGTGCGAGATATATGGGTCTCATATAAACAAAGATGGCGGCTTTGACTGTTGCGCAGATCAACGAGTGCGAACTGAGACGTTTTCAAGCTTTAATTAGGTAATTTTCGAGTGATTGGAAGGTATCGAAAGAGTCACCAGCGGTAATCAGTGCAAATCGCGCCCAGGTCAAATCCCATACTTGTGATTTCCACTTGAAGTGCGCATTGGATTGTGGGAAAATCAATGTTTATCAATACAAATGTCGCACATGTGTAGCGCGACGACTACCGCGCTTTAAAATCTGATATGTGGTTCTTGAGATATCAGTGATGTTTAAACCAGAAGGTAAATGTATGGCAATTAATTGCAGTTTAGTAAAACCATTCACTAAAGTGTAAAGCAGCCTAAATGTTCCACAAGAAATGTAAATATCTTATTTTCGTCAGTTTTTAACAAAATTATAGAGAAACTTGAAGTATTAATTTCTTGAAATTGTGTGAAATTGATAAAATCCATAATTTTGTATTAGATTGTACCCTGAAATGGAGTTCAGTAGATGAACTAGACTAATTACATCTGTAAACTAGCTTCTATGAAATCTGAAATTTTATGTCCAAAATCCGATATGGAAATCGCACATCGGAAGTTGCAGCGTTTTAAGTATGATGATCCACTGAGGCGGAAAACTAATTTCCGGGAAAAAAAAATAATTACTCAGAATTGGGAGTGATATTTTGTCACATAAATAAATCCTTCAACCATGGAAACCAAATAACTGACTACTACGCGAATACTCTCCAATCAAAATGTCAAAACCTTGTCCGATGTTGATATAAGCAGCGGCATCCAACGTCCCAAGAACTGGCCCGGGGACTTTCTTAAATAAAACCATGCATGCGTAGACGGAACCAACTTCAGTTGCTATGGTAGCAAAGATCGACATATGCACAATCGCACACTCCCTGTGTGCGTATCTACCGGTATTATTTTAAACCACCCTATAAGCTCACAGTTTTTTAGGTTCAATGTATAAATAGACTAATACCCCATGCAAATTAAATATGGTCCGTAATGTACGTTTCGTACGAGCTACAAACATGATCACAGGTTGAATTATTTCCTAAGCAAAGATCGATAAAATCAACAATTAATAATCTGTATTCGTACGTAGGAAATAGAAAATAACATTGGTAAGATCGTGTACGCGATGTTATTGTTTTAGTTGATACAAATGATTATTATTATTGGTTAAATAAATGAAGTCAACACATATACATAGGCAGTACAATAAGGACGCCGAGACCTGACACTCACCTGGTATATTACAAATTATATGAGCGCGCAGGAAACTCAATTCAACTCACTCCCGTTGAATTTCAGTAAAACGCAGGACACCGTAAATTGACGCAACTGGCGTGGGTCAATCAGACTATATCGTGGACCTGTTCAGTCGACTCGGTCAAAATAGTGGACGATAGTGGTGCGCCCCCACCGAGCATTAAATGTTGAACGTGAAGATTGAACTTGTCGGTTCAAGTACTATTTATATTTAAAGTAGTAATACCAAAAGTAGAAATTTTGTGCATTTTAATGTAACTTCACGAATGACCGATGAATACTAATTGTGTTTGTTTGTCTCGTAGAGGAATCCCCGCGCCGCGTCAAACCTCCCTCGCATTAATAGTACGTTCCAAAACAGTATATATTTTAATTTATGATCTAGAAACAGAATGTGTGACAGGGAGAAAAATACGTACAAACATCACTATGATTTTTTTCCAACCGTTTTAAATATACAAATATACATATAGACAAATATATATAATACATATAAAAGTATTCTTACCAATTAGGCGAGAATTTGTTGAATTTGCATTTACCGGTGGTTGGACATGTGTCCTCGGGTTCCAGGTAGTCTGCCTTAACTTCCCTTCTTCGAGTAATCACGATTTTTTTAGAAGAATGCATCACCATGATATTCACCAAAAGTTTTGTGTCTAGATATTGTGAGCGGGGTCGGGTGGGTGAAATTACCGATTACCGAAGTCGGTGTTATCTTCACCAGTCAAGGTTGTACGTTCGGCTATCCGCTCGACAATTGTGCGTGGGGCATGTTTGCATCGAGTTCGCCAAACCATACTATTTATAAGATGATCCGGCGAGTGCTACTTATAAACTTGATCTTAAAAACTGGCAGTGGTAGTTTAAATAAGTGATAATCTAACCACCTCACGTATCTATGATCTCTCATATATTGCCACTGTATTGCGAACTGTTTGTGTATTCTTACTATGCCATGTCGTTAGGAGTCTCTACAACTACGCCCTCTACGATATATGTTACAAAACATAAAGCAATTTTTCAATCACAGACACCTGTTGATACATAGATCGCTTTTGTGCTACTTTCAAGATCACCAACAGCAACACGTTATTTAGAAATGTGCGCATATAGCAGCGACAATGAACACGTATTTTTTTGTTTCCTATTACTTTTTGACCTCGTAAGACAATGACGTCGTGCCTTTATATAATTTTTCACCCTGTGTCACCAACCAATGATGAAAAATTTAAGATATTTTTATGCAATGTGAAACAAATAACTTTTCTGAAAAAGATGCTTATTTCCCTCAATATTGCACACAAAATTCCTAATAAATGTGTATAATGACTCAATGCTTACTTCCTTTGGCATCGATGTAAAGTAACAATTATATTGGCATAACTATTCATCATGTAACACCAAAGTCACCGCATAATCTTGTACTTTTGTTCACAATTTTTGATCAAGACACGCAGTGAATGGGAAATTATGTCAGTCTCTAAATTTAACAGAGATTTCCAGAAAAAAGTTGTAAAAAGGTTGCACCAAAATCGATAACTGGACAAAATATTGACCCTTGACCCAGAAGCGCGAAATGAAGGCAGGTATCCATTTTTCAAACCCTTGAATAATATATAAATACGTAAATTTAAAACACGTGTTAATCAGGATTAACCGTTTAACATGGACACATAACTATTATC